TCCCGTTCGAAAATTTCTTGGGCTTCAAGTAGTCAAAAACACCAACAAAAAAATATAGGTCCCCATTCATTTCAAGCAAATACTGCAGCTGAGGCGTGTTCGAAAGCGATCGCTGTTGCGCCTCTAACCAGCATTACTGGAGGATTTCGCTTACATTCCATCAATACCACAAAAGGCAACCATTTATATCTGCACATTCAAGGTAATAGAGCGACCATGACCAGCGAATGTAGATGAAATATAAGATTTGTTGACGACATGAAACTAATGAAATTCATAGCTTCGGCAAAGTGCGTTAGTCCATTTTTAAAAATTGTTAAAACTGCCGTTTGAAACTTATGGCCACAATTTCCAATGTAATTTCTGCGCAAGCTGCTACGCTTGCATGGTGTAGAGCCGACTCTTTTGAATTTACAGCGCACCATTTCAAAGTATTAACAAAGAGAAGGATTTGAAGAAAAATTCAAGACTTTCCAGACAGCCTATATACTAGTTTTAAGAGGAAGATCACGACGAATATGTAAAGATAATCTTCGAACAACTCCAACAAATCATCCAACAATATCAGAACAGACAAGATTTTTACGTATTTACAGGATTTGGAAGGCAACAAACCTCAAAGACCATTTTCCCACGCATTGTCCTCGTCATCCATGTCAATAAGCTCATTCTGTATCTTGGCTGAAACGCGACACATATGACGTTGATAGTTTATTTTAGAAAACAAGCAAAGCATTCTAACCGCTTGCATTGACTTTTTGATCCTTGGCAACAATGACACTGGTGAGTTCTGCGTTATCGCCGACGATTGCACCGGGACAAATTATACTTTGCGACACTTTTGCGCTAAAAAGAGCACTCATCAGGATGAATAAGAAATATTATGTGCGGAAAAATAACCTACTAACCCTTTGCCGACTGACGCTCCTTCCATGATGACGCTGCCTTGGATGTTCGCCTTCTCTCCAATGGTGCATCGCGACCCGATAATGCTACGCTTAACCAGAGAACGCTCAGCAACCTGAATAACTCTTATTTTCCAACCATTCAGTATTTCGACTTTCATTCAATCATTACTCACTCATTTTATCTAAATCATCTCTTAAGTACGATTGATCCTATGAAAGCTACTTTGAAATTTCAATAACTACCTTTGCGTCCTCGGCCACAAGACTTTCATTAGTATGAATCCCAGTAGATCTGCCATCGAAAATTTGACCGGTGTATAATTTGGATGATATCCGAGGTAAACATTTGAGGATCTGTATACGAATAAAATGAAAACTGTTGGGACATGTTGATAAGATTACTTACTGATTTGTTCACTTCAAAATAGGCCCCTAAGTTATTTGCATGTGCTGAGACAGTGGCATTACCATGTGGAAGTAGGTAAGCCATGCATTTTGGCTCTTCCAAGTCTCCATTGGACACTGAAACCTTTTACTTGGAGCGTTCCTTCTTATTTTAAGTCTGCCCTATTTTAAGTGTACAATTTGAACCCCTAAAACTGTTTTCGACGAACAGGCCCCTAGTCGCCGTAACGCAATCGATTGCAAAAGTTTGTCACAAACTATTAGCAAAGGCACACCGTGGTTGAAAGGTGACACGCGGCACCACTGCTGTGTTCGCATTTACGAGTTTTTGAGATTCTTCTTACACTCAAAATTAGCGGAAGGACATTCGTAAACGTTTCAACCAATTATATATAGAAGTACATAGGTAGAAATCCAAACTAAACAAATATAAGCGAGTAGGAGTGCAAACTAAGAAATAAACTCACATGTATATTGTTGAGCTAACAAATATGGGACAAAGTCCGCCTTGATCGATGCAAAATTTCTGAAATTAAATTATTTTCTCCAAAGGTCACATCTAACTCTTCTATCCTCTCAACTCAAATGTAGCAAAAACAAAGAGTGAATATATGTGGAAACCCCTCAAAAGCTCTAAAGTTAGCACTCAATCACTGGCACTCGACAGCTGTGACTGCTCAATGTGTTCTCTTCCAAAGAAAAAAACAAACTTTCACTTACTTCTGCCTTGCTATCATACCAAGGCAGGAATGTCGCATGAAGTACACGTGACAGTCTACGTATTTAGTCGTCAGACTCACATTTGAAAATCTGGAACATGTGAATAGCAGCTCTCCACCAGTGTTGTACATTGAGAACAAAGTGAAAGGAAAGAAATGACAAAAATAGATGTTGCTCATATGAAAACAAAGTATGTACTTATTCATCCAAGCTTCTGCATTCACAGGCTGGTCAAAATCTTCTTCAGATGTCATATATACTATTCGATTAGTGGACTCTTCCATTGCAATAAAATCTCGACCTGTAAGAAAGCCACTGAACTCTTAACGAGCAGAGGAAGAAAAAAACGTAAAGATCAATTTTAGGTATAGTGTTTTTTTTTCGCTCAGCAGATACAATCTATTTCATGCCAATGCCCTGGTCTGTCCGTGTTGATTTAAATCTATGTAAAATTTTATGCAAGTCAAGTGAGTTAGACCGCATAACATCTTAATTCAGTGTTTTGAGTAAAACCAAAAAGTTCAGTAAATAACAAGGATTATGTATGCAAGGAGAAAATTTTTCGACTGCAAGATAATGTTTTATTAGATTATGTTAGGTCGTTGCATGGTTCGAGCCATTTTCTTCAAGTCAAAAATGTTCTAAGAAGCCAGAAGTTTTAGCAGCACATTGCATGTCAACGAAAGTGGAAATCTTCCCCTAAAATATAGCATTAATTTTTCTAAACATTTCGGTTTGGTTAAACTATAATCGACGCAAAATTTATTTTCAGAGGAGCCAAAGCTTCCGACAGCTTAATTTTCTTGATTGTTAGACCCCCCCGATGGTCTACCCTCATCGTGGCGTGGGGGTGTCACTGCCTGGTATCTCTGGGTGTCGAACTGCGAAGTACTGCGGAGGTTTATCCTCCAACAGGGTCTCCCAAGCTGAGAAGGAGTTCGATGTTTCCAGTTCCCCGGATGCCCAGCTAAGAGTAGGTCATGCCAGAAGCAACACCGTCTGTCTGATTCAGTCGCTAGACGGCATATGTCTCCCTGATCCACGTAAGGTCAGCGATTGCCTGTGGTAAAAGCTTGGCAGGGCCCTGACAAGGCACTGCATGTGTGGAGAGATTCCTTTTACTCATGCCCTAACAGCATATAATAGGAAAAGGCCCAACACACTGGATCACATCTACGGCGTCGGATGTCGTCAAGACCAGTGTCAGATTGCACAGGACGCATGGATTTTGGACCAAAAGGACACGTCAACGACTCGCCTTGGAGATTGTCTCATGCTCTGCACCTATAACGTCAGGACAGTCTCCACCAACGCCGATCTTCACGCGCTTCTCGAAGCTGCAGGGCGCATCAACTACATCGTAATCGCCATGCAGGAAACAAAGTCCAGGAAGACGGACGTGAGGCAGCTGAGTGGTGGCACACTCATCATTCGTG